CCTTCTCTTTTCTCGTTTTCTTAATACTCTTCTTTTTTTTCTTTTTTTTTTCCCCTTTCTCGTTTCACTTTTCCGCTTTCTTAGTTTAAATTAACAATTTTTATATATATTCTATAGACACCGAATTACACATGACATCCCCTGAATGCGATAGCACGTCCATTTAAAATTAAAATTTTAACGGTTCTCAAAAACGCCTGGACGGAAATTAATCAAGACTTTTCGGGAATGTAAACTGACAGTTGAACGTTCTTTATAATGACCAGTGGTGGGAAAGAGCTCGATAACTAAAAGCAACAGTTTCTTCATAATTCTAAGCCACCTTTAAATAATAGGACAATTAGGAAGAAGAAAATAAAACAGATAATTTAGCGGTAAACCTTCAAATCAAACTAAATAAAAGATTTTTTTTTAATCATTTCACCCTAAAGCAAGACGGGGATGCGACTAGTGTGCGAGGGAGTTACTGGGCGTGGAAATGAAAGAGAAGTATGAGAATAAAGATGATTGTGGAAAGGAAAAAAGATGAATGCGATTCAAGAAAACAAGTGTTTCTTCTATTCTTGAAGATTGTAATTATTAGGGAAGCAAGGGAAAAGAAGGGAAAATAAATTATTGGAGTAGTTGTGTATGTGTGTGGGGTGGGGCTTACGGCCACATCACGCTGAAACACCAGTTCTCGTAAGATCACCGAAGTTAAGAATCGTCGAGCCTGATCAGTAGCTAGATGGGTATACCAAATGCTTTAAGCTTAGATGTGTGGGTGACGTAATGGAAAATGGCTCGGAATTATTAATCGGAGAGCTGAATTGCAATTGACGTTAGCTTTGTAATATTCCCTTGAGGGAAAGTACGGATGCAACTCTTCCCATCACACCTATGGGTTAATTAGTACAATTTGTATCATTAAAATAATATTATCCCTTCCCCCTACCACTGACAAGTCCACAAAAAAAAATCCTAAAAAGTCAATAATTTCGTGATGGTATTCAAGACATATAACACATAAATGAATCCCAATCCAAAATAATTTAAATACCTATTTACATATATGAATATATACACATATAATGAAATAAGGAAATGTCCAATCAATTGGGAATTAATGTGTTAACATGTTTTCATGATATTATTATATTATATATATTATTCTCATGATATAGTGCGCGGGTCGCCGATTGTCTAGACAATCAGACTGGGTTCGAATATCACCGTGGTCAATTTATTCAGATCGTGACCCCTTTACTATATCGTCCCGGGCATTCCTTACCAATCAACCTTACCTAAAACCATCATACACCTTGACGCCTTTGAGTAAAATTGGGTCGATGGTCCTATTCTGTTGATTGCTGTGTTAGAACGAAGTCATATGTGTTCGTGACCGAAGGTTTAAATGAATTACTTTTGTTAAATTTAGTCATCATGGAAGATTATGCATTCTCTTCTAGGAACTATAACTAAGATTATATCAGCGTAGGGGTAATCGTTGAAGGATCGCAAATAAACAGGCGTCTGCCGACAGACATAAGAAGTGGACAGACAAAAACTCTAATTATATCATAATAAGTAATATAAGGGAAACAATATATATATATATATATATATATATATATATATATATATATATATATATATATATATATATATTATTAAAAATAGTATCACTATTATATTATTGTAGGTATCTCACATTGTGCTCCGTAGTATCTTGACTTATTGTTTATTTTCATTCAGGCCGTTAAATTTAATTAATACTCTTTCATTAAAACATTAATTTTTTTTTTTCATTGAACAATCAAAACAATTTATCGAAAAATTTATTGAAACAAAGCAAGTTCAGTTGACCATTGATGACAATTCCAGAAATAGATTGATCTATAAAAAAATAAATTGATCTATAAAAATATTTTTGCTAATCGGTTTGTTTCAGGAAAGTGCTTTTCTATTTAATTTAGGAATGTTCTTCCTATATTTGTTTTGACGGTTTTGTGTATTGTCGGTTAACCTAGATAATATTTCTTTTTAAGTTTTTTGCGTTTCGGTAGATAGTCCTGTACTGTTGATTGTTGTGCTAGAAAGAAGTCATGTGTTCGTGAGAAAAGTTTTAAGTGTGTTGCCCTTGTTCAATTTGGTTGTCATCAGAGATCATACATTCTCTTCTAGGAAATATAACGAAGATTCTATCCGCGTAGGTATAATCGTTGAAGGATTGAACAGACGTCTGCCGAGAGACATAAGAAGTGGCCAGACTCTAATTATATCATTATAATTAATATTATAATAGAATCAATTTATTTTTTTTTCTGTTCATAAACTATTTTTATAGTTATAATTTATTTAAGTAATGCTCTGTTTTTAATTGAACAGTATTAATTCAAATTACCGGCCTGAATGTTAGAAAAATTTATTAGAAAATATGCGTTCTCTGTAGCTAAATGGCATTGCACGTCAGATCAAATGACGGTTTCCGTATAGTAATACAGGTTCGATTCCTGTCGGAGTAAAGATATTTTCTACGTAATTTCTCTCACATTGTAGCCAGTAAATGTAATTAATACTGTTTAATTAAAAACAGATCATTTACATAAATAAAGTGCATCTATAAAAATAACGTATAAACATAAAATATATCAAATAAAGTAATAAATAAAAAATCTCCTACTCACGTTCCTTCATTAAACTGTATCATCTCACGTCCATGAACTTACATGACTTTTCCGCTGACCTAATGAATATTCATGAGCACACCTACAGCAAAAAACTTTGAAAAACCAATAACACGTTTGGTCTTGTATGTAAATACTTATTACGCATAACATCCTTCAGAAGACGAAACGCGTCGAATAAGTTTACCATTATTTATTCATATTCCTTTTACAAATAACCTCTATCTGAAATTTTTAAACGCACACACACACGCATATATATATATATATATATATATATATATATATATATATATATATATATGAACGAATGTAGTGTTAAGGGGCGCTATATTTATGGGATAAAGTGTCCAATATCAGAGATAGAGCGTATGTAAATATAAATATAAAAGTGAATATTGAAGTCAACACTCAAAGGCGACAGGCTGTTTAATGCTGGACATAATCGTCAAGCGGCCCGACGATTGTATCCAGCATGAAACAGCCTGTCGCCTCTGAGTGTTGACTTCAATGTTCACTTTTACATACATATATATATATATATATATATATATATATATATATATATATATATATATATATATATATATATTATGAATTAACTGATTTAAAAATCATATATCATACCATTTTGGAATCAGGCCGACTCCGTGAGCAAATTAAAAAAAATCCATGTTGGATCCGGACCCAATAATCATGAAATTTTGGATTCCCAAGTTTTCATTAATGCAATTGTTTTTGGTGAATTTTTACGTGAGTTTTTGTGTACGATAACAATTTTTATAACTTGAAATACGTAATAATCGAAATTAATTTCGAAGTCCAGTTTCTTTATGAAGGAACGTCAGAAGAATTATCGTTGAAATTTAAAAGGAAGCATAAATATTAATGCAATACTTAAATGCAGCGATCAATTTTGAGTTCTTCTGTAGTTTATTGTTGCTTATCGCATATGGTAGCAGTATGCCTCGCAAAAAGCAATCTCCACCCAAGAGGAACACACTGCAATCAAAAGAGCCAAGGCTACATCGAGGACAAGAAAGTCCCGTACAAATAAAAACACAGATCAAACGGCAGCTAGGAGAGCTTCCAGTGCAGAGAATATGCAAAGAATTAGGGACATTTAACCTTCTGAACAAGACAAAGGCTCAAAGAAGTGCCCTCCGCAGGAGCTAGCTTAATTTCCCACCGATAGGGCGGCTTTTAAGCTTGTAATAAGTAAAAGAAAAGCTTATTCAAATCTAGTTTAAATATATGTTTGATAAAATAGTTTTTATGTGTCAGGAAACTCAATCAAATATTACTGGCTCGATTACAGTAATAGAAAAATTTAAAAAAGAAAGAACTTGAAAATGCACTTACTTTCTAGAATCACGTTCTTATCCATTTTGCTGAAATTTTAAACGATTCTTTCGGTTCTTGACTCGTGTCGCCCAAACTTAATTTCCGCATCCAGATAACTGAAATGGATTTGAAGTTTTCTTTTGTTTCTTTCTTATTTTTTTTTTTCAAATTCACTAGCTAAAATAGGGGGAAAATTATCCAGGTTCGATTAATTGATGACACGACAATCACAAAGGTGAAATCCTCTTTAAAAATTGTTTCGAAAAAAAAAAACCACTTAAAAAAAAATTCCAGGATTTCATTAACATCGTGTCCTATATTCTAAAAATTCCATTCTTCAAGAAACTAACTATGTTAAAAAAAAATAACAGCACAAATACTACATTTAAGTATCTGTTTTTCTAGGCATGTTTGAACTAAGCGGGGTGCAAAAACGTTAGAAATATGTAGCGAAAGACGCCTTCCAAAAGCTAAGGACAGTATTAAGAAAAAAGAAAAAAATAATCGTTACAAAGAAAATAGTACTGAACTGATATGTAATATATCTCCTTCTAGTGAAAGAAGACGAGACTTCGAGCAAGAGAAATGTGGTTCTACAGAAGGATGATGCGGACAATAATATTAACTAAAAATGACGAGGAAGTTTTACGGAAAATAGAAAAAAATATACTTGTACTTAGAATCAGAAAGAGACAGAAGAAATTACTAGGACATAGAATGAGGAAAGATTGCTTGGAGAAATTGACACGCACGTGGCAGCGAAGGCGAGAGACGGAGGAAAGCAGCAAAGAAACATGCTTAACCAGCATATGTAAATTGATGGACGGAGAGGGAGTACGAGAGATAGCAAAAACATAAACTTCCAAAGGGCTACATATGACAGGAAGATGTGGAGAGCCATATTCGCACAGTTTCTAATGAGACTAGGCACATAGAAGACGAAAAACAATAAGACGTTCAAATTCGTTTTCTCTGCCTTTTTTTTCATAGTTGGTTGAAAATAATAGATATGTGTCTGCAGAAACACAAACTGACTATTTACTTGCCAAAGGAAATCCACAGATCTATCTATCTATCTATCTATCTATCTATCTATCTATCTATCTATCTCACCATGTTTTAATCTATCTATCTATCTATCTATCTATCTATCTATCTATCTATCTATCTATCCCACCATGTTTTAATCTATCTATCTATCTATCTATCTATCTATCTATCTATCTATCCCACCATGTTTTAATCTATCTATCTATCTATCTATCTATCTATCTATCTATCTATCTATCTATCTATCACGGATGGTTCATTATCTATCTATCTATCTATCTATCTATCTATCTATCACGGATGGTTCATTATCTATCTATCTATCTATCTATCTATCTATCTATCTATCTATCTATCCCACAATGTTTTAATCTATCTATCTATCTATCCCACCATGTTTTAATCTATCTATCTATCTATCTAACTATCTATCTATCTATCTATCTATCTATCTATCTATCTATCTATCTATCTATCTATCTATCTATCCCACCATGTTTTAATCTATCTATCTATCATCTATCTATCTATCACGGATGGTTCATTATCTATCTATCTATCTATCTATCTATCACGGATGGTTCATTATCTATCTATCTATCTATCTATCTATCTATCTATCACGGATGGTTCATTATCTATCTATCTATCTATCTATCTATCTATCTATCTATCTATCTATCTATCCCACCATGTTTTAATCTATCTATCTATCTATCTATCTATCTATCTATCTATCTATCTATCCCATTCTATTTTAATCTATCTATCTATCTATCGATCTTATCCTATTTTTAATCTATGTTATCCTATTTTAATCTATCTATCTATCTATCTATCTATCTATCTATCTATCTATCTATCTATCTCATCCTGTCCATAATCTCCATTTTTTTATATTGCTTTTCCAATACATTTGGCGACGCCGTCTAATCGTCCTTATGAGAAGTTCCTCTATGAAAATAATCGTAGCTCGATTTTTTGTTTTGATTTTATTATTGCCCACCCGATACAAGTCGCAAGAGCCACTCAAAGTAGAGAACTACTCAATAAGGTTGATGTAAGGGCGTACATGGAGGGAGTAAAAGGTGCGTATTATAATAATATGTAGGATATCTATCCTACGTATCCTCATAATAATCAATAGTTGAACCTAAACTTGATCGTAAAGACTGTAGCTATTGTAAAGGGTTTTTCCTTAAGACGGATTATATATAAGGGTCTTTCATTAAGACGGATTATATATAAGGGTGTTTCATTAAGATGGATTATATATAAAGGGTGTTTCATTAAGACGGATTATATATAAGGGTGTTTCATTAAGACGGATTATATATCAAGGGTATTTCATTAAGACGGATCAAAGTCAGCAGTAAAAAAAATCAGTGTTATTGGGGAAATTTATTTATTTCTTTATTGGATCAGGTTATTTAAATCATGGCAATTACGTGTGAAAAATAATATCGCCCAAATATGCGTCAAGGCTTCGGAGTACACCTCCACTCGATGGTCAAAATTTTTGATGACGTCTCTGTATAGTTTCTCCTTGATCTCACCAATATGCCTTATTATCTCATCCTTCAGCTGTTGAATTGTTGTTGGCTTGTTGGCATAGACCTTACTTTTGAAATGACCCCAAAGGAAGTCGTACGATCATGGTGCCCAATTGACTTCATTGTTTAAAGAGATAATCCGACTTGGGAACTTCTCATTCAAATTCTGTTTGAATTTCCATTTTCGTAATATGCTAACTTTAACACGTTGGTTGATTTTTAATCTTTCCATGGCTGAAATTGCCAAAGAGTTAAGCTGTTAAATCTAAAAGAAAAAGGAAAAAAATCCATACAATTTATTGGAACACCCTTTAGACACATCCACTCAGGCGCCTGTTCCACAATGCGGTGGTACTGCTAAGGAATCTGTCTGATTGGAACTTCTACCTTACTAAGGGTATATGACGAAAAAGAGGATAAGACATTCAATGTGCTTAGCCTGACAGTGAAGGTTTAGATGGTGGAACCAAGCAATATTTTTTGCCCAAACCTGTCTTGATAACAGTAAGAGTTTAGCGACGTTTTACATGATAAAATCAGGTGAAGGTTGGAAGAAATTCATCTCTCATAAGGCTGCGCAAACAATTTTGAAATCTGTCAAAGCGGGACAGTGAGGATTGGGCAGCTCCTGTCTATATATGGTAGCAATCATATCAAACTTATTAGCAAGGGTAATTTACGCTAAGTGCTTTGTTAAAAAACTGTTGTAAGCTTACTAAATACAATATATTATATATATATATATATATATATATATATATATATATATATATAAGAGTAGTGCTTAACAGTTGGGTTAGAATCGTATCATTCTATCAGTCACCGTCTATACTTATATATTTATCTTCATCGGTTTCTATATATGTCTATTATTGTATCATATCTATTTCCAGTTAAACAGAAAGATAGATCGATAGATAGATAGATAGATACATACATACATACATAGAAAGAAACAGACTGAGAAAGATAGCAAGAAACAGACTTAGATAGATAGATAGATAGATAGATAGATAGATAGATAGATAGCGAGAGAAAGAAACAAAGATAGATAGATAGATAAGGAAAGAAACAGATTTAGTTAGTTATTTAGATAGATAGATAGATAGATAGATATATAGATAGATAGATAGATAGATAGATAGATAGATAGATAGATGTGTCGTGCCAGAGGTCTGAGATCTTCACTAATAATTTGGCATGTAGGCGTGCTCTTTGCTCTCGTATCAAAAGTCAGATATCTTCACTCAAATTATTCGTCTACCTTAGTAGTTTTGTAAATGTTATTTGTCTTTGGATTCTGGTGATAACGGATTTCTTTTTGGATTTTTTTGGAAGAACTGAACATTAAACAAAGTTCTAACAGATATAATATGTAACTATGCATTTTGAGATAAAGCAAAAGACAGAGCATTTTCTACCTTGTCTTTAAGAAGGAAAATGAAAACAAAAAAAAAAGGAATAAAAAGATGTAGACACTTCGAAGGCGAACATTCCTTCCAATCAAATCCAAAAAGAAATCCGTTATCACCAGAATCCAAAGATAAATAACATTTACAAAACAACTAGGTAGACGAATATTTTGAGTGAAGATATCTGACTTTTGATACGACAGCTAAAAGCACGCCTACATGTAAAATTGTGAGTGGAGATATCTATCTATCTATCTATCTATCTATCTATCTATCTATCTGTTTTTGCTTCTCTGTCTCTTTCTCTATCTATCTAACTAAATCTGTTTCTTTCTTTATCTATCTATCTATCTATCTATCTATCTATCTGTCTGTCTGTCTGTCTCTTTCTTTGTTCTTTCCTTCGCTGTCTATCTGGTTCTTGTTTTTTTTCTCTTTCTCTCTCTCTCTCTCTCTCTCTCTTTCTATCTATCTATCTATCTGTTTCTTTCTTTCTTCTTTCTTTCACTATCTATCTATCTATCTATCTATCTATCTGTCTGTCTGTCTTAGTCTGTTTCTTTTCGGGATATTCCAATATCAGTTATTTCCTCTTGGATTCAACTGCTCAAGTTTTTTGTTCTCTTCTGCTGTATTGAACTCACAAAAGCGTTCGTTTATGTAATCCAGTGACTTGACGCGGACAATTGTAAGTTGTAGTAACAGCAAAGATGAAAAACCTTGAGTTAAAGGAAAAAAACAAAAAAACTGATGCTGCGATATCTAGAAGAGGCTTGGTACGTGAAACAATTTACCCAGTAGACGGTATAAAGTGTTTGCTTCCAAATTACAGTCACCTGAAGACGATCTGTAAAAGGCAGAAACGTCGTGAATATGGCAACAAAGATTTGGGCAACAGCCCAAACAATTTAAATAGTGTAAATAAAAAGTATAGAAATATTACATTATATCAGTCTTTTTATATGGCAGTGAATGATGGACCATCTCCTCACGGAGAGACTTGATCCAAAAGGATGGTGAAACTACTATAGGCCGAACATGTAAGCACCGACCAAGTTTTACAGAAATTGAAAACAAAAAAGGAGACTTATACATGATATCAGGAAGGATACGGTTGAAATATCTGAGGCACATAATATAGAAAGAAGGCTTGGAAAATTTGACACTCACAGGACACATTGAAGGCTCGAGGCAGAGAGAAAAACAACACCTTACCTCCCTAGCGAGCTTGAGTAAATGGATGGCAGATCAGGCTTCAGAAGAAATGAAAAAAAAATTAAGAGCTACAAAGGATATCAAATTGCGAAGAGCCATCCATAGTCGCCAACATCCTGAAGGGACTTAACACATAAAGACGAATAGTAAATTTATATATCTATGCGAAAAGTCGACGCGAAAAGCCTAATATATACGTGTTACTTTAATCTTACAGTCTTTTCTCATTTTCATTATCTACATAAATAAATATTTTCAGGCTGTAACCTCGTGTTATAAATATTAATAACCTCGTCTGAGGCAAGAGTAAAACTGCCGATCTTAACTGTGTAAAACCATAGCCCCCCCTTTTTAATATTATTCAACCAATTTGAGGTCCAAAAACCACTCAAGATAGAAGGTTACTGTATAAGGCGTGTTTACAGCAGGAAGCAAGAAGAGAAGTTTATGAGTATATAGCGGATAGCTAACTGTTGCCAGTAGACAAGAAGTTAAATTGATAGACTCTACGGAAGCGTAGATGAAGGAGTCAGTTCCACAAATTAATAGTTTTTTCTTTTTTTTAGCGTTTCACCGCAAGCAAGGCGGGAAGCCACTAGCACGCAAGGGGTTACAGAGAATTGGAGTGAGTCCAAAATAGGATGAGGAGAATGATAGGGATAGACCAAGGCATCTGGAGACGTCGATTGACATTACATTTGAATAGTTGAAGATTATAGCTATCAGGGAAACAAGAAAAGGCGAGGTTCCACAGGCGAGAGGTGCGAGACATGAAGCTATTGGCGTAGAAGAGACGGCTACATTTAAGTTTCGACAGTGAAATGGTGAGAGCGAGATGTCAGCTTAGTTGAACGCTTAAATTCATGAAGTCTGGGAACCAGCGAAAGTAGCTCATCGGGTCAGTTACCACGAAAGTAATGTAAAAAAGACAGAGGGAGGCAACGGCACGTCTGTGAGAGAGCGACTGCAGACGAGATGCCAGATCAGGGCCAATTACGTTGCATATCCGTCTCTAGATTTTATCAAGAACCTTGAGAGAAACAGAAGGGGCTCCAGACCATATATGGCAGCAATACTCCATGCAAGAGGGAATGGTTGATTTGTAGATTTGAAGGATAGATTGCGGGGAAAAAAAATTTCCTGGCGCGGCACAGGGAGCCAACTTTCTTTGCGGTGGACGAAGCAATTGACTCAATGTATTTATTCCATCTCAGGTCAGCAATCAATGTGAGACCGAGCAGCCGCAAAGAGATGCTCTCAAGAAGTTGAGCGTCAGACATTCTAATGGGGGTGAGGTAAGGATCTCTGTGATGAGTAATAGAGAGTAGTTTTGTTTTTGAGGCGTTAAAGTTAACCAGCCAATTCCTGCCCCAGTTCACAATCGAGACAAATGGCCATGTTACTTTTGTCAACGACACTAGATTTGTTTTTGAGGCAGGAGTAAATTATAGTGTCGTCCGCATAGATGCCAACTTGGGAAACTATGGCGTCAGGAAGATCGCTCATAGGATCATTGATTTATTGAGAGATTTTATTTTTTTTATATTTTATCAATCTTTTTACCAGATCATTTAAAGCCAGATAATATATTCGGATAGTGAGATTTTTGAGGGAGATAATAATGATTTACTTATACAACTAGTATTAAGTAACCCATAACTAGGAGGAACAGAGTTGGATCCATAGGGTCATGTTTGTGCGTGAAAATAAAGAACCCCACTAGAATTGAAACTCCTCTCTCCGATTTCTAAGTTCGAGAGGCTATCACCAGCACATCCTGTTTATTTCTAAGTGATCACTCACCTTGATAATAGCCAGGCTCGACGTTGCTCAACTTCGGTGATCGTCCGAGAACCGTTGTTTCAACGTCATATTGTCGTAAGCCAAGAGTTCACATGAAGAAATATTTGGAATAGAACGAGCTAATGGGGCATGGTTTTTTATTTCTTTTTCGTTTCTTTTCAACACAAATTCACCTACTGGCTACAGGTAACTAAGTTATTTTCTTTAAAAAGTCGGAGTTATTAGAAACAATAGATTCGGAATTTTCCATTTATTTTCGTTTTGAAACCATCTGACCATACTATATATATATATATATATATATATATATATATATATATATATATATATATATATATAGTTTATGCAAACTTAGGTAATCCGTATGGGTAGACCTGAGGAGGATGATATCCAGAGAGCTCAATGTAAAATTCAGAGCAGATATGTTTGAATAAAAGACAGACCACGTTAAGATTCCATGTAATAAGCTATTTCACCATAACCCCTTTAACAGGGTTCTGGATCATCAGACTTTACTTCCAAAAGCTGAAATGAAAAATGAAAAGAAATTCACACGTTTTTCACAGACCTCATCAAGTATACGCAAAGTTAACGAAGTGAGGAAGTGAGGTGGGAGAGAGGATATGAGTGTGTCATATGTATCATTTTAGTTTCCTATTTTAACCCCAGTGTGTCGGCTGGATGTTGCTCAAATTTAACGCGTCTCGTTTCTAGATAAAGGTGGCTAAGGGGTGAACGATAAGAACTACATTAAAAGAAGACGTTACAACAACCCCAATAAATTACACGACAGGTTTCATTCAAATTCTTAGACGTTGTCAGTTCGCGTTACTTTAACGTGCATATTTGGGAGGTTAAGGTTTGATAAATATCTAAATTTTAAAACAATCTACGAAGGAATTAATTTGAAATTCGGTGGAGTTTTGGGTATTTTCTATGAAACAGTCGATTGGAAAATCCATAGACAGAACATTGAAAGAGCAATCCAATTTATATTTAGTAATTTTTTTTTTTTCCACTAAAACTTTTATCTTATAGCTTGTTAGGTTGACATTTATTCGTTTGATTTTGTTCATTAAGTAAACTCGTGATTGTTTTTTTGATTTTTGTTCATTAAGTAAACTCGTGGTTGTTTTATGTATCCAATTATCAACAGTTATTCCCATTTAAATAATTTTATTTTCCACATTGGGGTAGTATCTTTCAATCTCAATTAAAATACCAATCTAAACTTTCCCTTCGTGCTATTTAAAATTCACTTCCAATTGGAGAATATTAGAGGAGAAATTTGGAAGAGATGTCACTAGCAGAAAATTAGGTCCTTCTTTACAATTTTTTATCTACACATGTCTCAAACCCCTATTTGTAACCACATACCTATATCTTCTTATATGCCTATGAGTTCCTATATACACCTACACACACATTCACACGAAACGATATATGTATATTTCCATCTTTACACATATACACCTGCAGAGAAAACGCACATCCACATGTCTCCATACCTATCTCCATATATACTTATACTTACATATATACATATACACACAAGGACATCTGCATATCCATATATATTCATACGCACATATATATATTTACACATCTATACGTATACACATATACACATACATACACACCCATATATGCATACATACATACATACATATACATACACACATATGCATATGCATACGCAATATGCAGAATATCTACATACCCACATATGCGTTAATTTGCACTTACATATATCTACCCACGTATTTGTCCCTATCCTCATGTCCACTCGTGCATCCACTGATGCCTGCGATCGAAGACTATCTCAGTATTTAATTACATTATCTATATCTTTACACATATAATATTACCCGATCTTTTATATTTATGGCAAAACATATAAGTACCTAACTAATTGTACATCTCCACACTCATAAAAAAAACAAAAAAAAACTGGTATGCTTCTTTTTCCGTATAAAAACATATACATGTACCTATCAACAGGTGTCTCAGTGTGCAAATACATTATCATAGTTGTATACATATAGTCATGCGTTAGCGTTCACGTGTGCATAGTAATATTTCTAAAAACAAAGGGAATATAAAACATTCAAAATTACTGTTCCTATATGATTATTTCTTAGTGTACTTGCTTAGGTTTAGGCTGTTTTTGTGACGGCACTTAAAACTAGTTCATTATATATATATATATATATATATATATATATATATATATATATATATATATATATATATATATATATATATATATATATATATATATATATATATATATAGCGTTTGTTTACGTTTGTAAAAACAATACGGTAGATTTGGCTGATTCGTTCTGTGGAGTGAAGATTGCTCAAAGGTATCAAAGGTAGAAGCTCTGACTAACACCAAATCGGTTGGGTTTCGATCCGGGCTTGAGGCATTCGGATGTCTAGTCGCACTGAGGGCTGTAATACAACGAAATAGTACTATCTGAGAATGACATAATATATATATATTCTATTCAAACGAATCTATCTTAAAAATCTTGTCGGCATTAAATAACCCATTGAGGTTGATATGTCGTTAAACAAAGTAAACCAAACCAATCTCAACCAAAGAATACATACTCTATTCATAAGAATCTACCCTAAAAATGTTGTTGGCATTAAATAATCCATAGAGGTTTATATGCCGTTAAACAAAATAAACCAAACCAATTTTAATCGTTTTCGTTAAATCCACTTACGCTCAAAGACACTTGGGAAAGGTTTGAATTGACCTCTTCTTTTCCCCAGCTATGGGTTAATTAGTAAAACCAGTATCATTAAACATATATATTTTTGTGCAGTGTCTCTTCAGGACATTGGTGATCATGGCTCTCCACAATTTTCTGTCTTTTGTAGACGCTAATAAATTTTATTTTTTTATTTCTCCTCAAATCTGTCTCGCTATCTATTTATTTAAACTCGCTAGGTAAGTTATGACTTGTGTTTCTCTCTCCTTCGTGTCTTCAATAAAATCATTATAATCTTCTCAAAAGATTCTTACAATTTAATGATCTTTTCTGGCTTTAACCCTGCAAAATAGAACGAATCAGTCAATAAATTAAACAGTCTTGTTAATATATAGGGTGATTGAAAAGTAAATCTCTATTTTATGTATGAGTGGTCAGCCAGTAGTCCTGAATCAACGCCCTGTGATTTTTTTCTTGGGGGTTGGTTAAAGGAGTAAGTCTGCTATACCAAACCAACATTTGGAATAACTTGAAAGGCGAATACAAGAACTTATGTCTTTCATACCACAAGAGTTCCTGGTGAACTCAGCTGATGCGATTGCTCGGCGGCTCGTGAAGCTAGTAGGGAAATCTAGTACCCATAATGAATTTTAAACCTCATGCTAAATGCTTTCTTTTCATATCCTTTTCTAGTAAAACTTATAGTTAATAAATAGAATATAAGTATTTTAAAATGGGAAGTTACTTTTCAATCACCTTGTATTTATCGACGGAGTAAACAGTTCTCGTTTTATTCCCCATATCTAAGAATATCTAGTCTCGTTTATGCATTAACTAAATGCATTTATTCCCGAAATATTAAATACATTTATTTTAATTCCAACTTAAGCTTTAGATGGATTGACGTTTCTTTGCCTTGGCTATTTACCATTCTTTGATTTACTTCGTAACTGTGTCCCTTGGAATGGGGAAATACTCACATTAGGGGCCACCTACAAAGTAAATTATTATCGTTTCAAATATAAACGTGTATTATTTACTCATTACCGAACCAAGTAATTGCTTATCCATTCAAATATGAATGACTAATTATTATCTCTTAAGTAAATGCACAGAAACTCAAGTATAAACAACTATTGTTTATCCATTGTTGAACAAAGTAAATGCTTATCAACTTAAATAAAATTTACCTCCGAATTGTATAGACTTAGGCATAAATCACAAATACATACCTGAACTCAAAGGAAATATTATGCACTCAAATACTAATATAATAGTAATAGTAATAGCCAATTTATAGCCTTTGTGACGTCATATGTAAATGAGTTACCTCCCTTATAAACTCAAATATAAATATTTACCAATCCATTATTTATTACTCAGCAAGAACAACGTAAATTCTTATAGACTCAAATACATTTTTCAGAAAATAGAGGCATTATGACATCGAATAACGCAACACGAGTTGAAATATTATTAAAACAACATTGTTTTCTTGCCCGTATCAGATTATTTTCATTACTTCCTTTTATTTTATATTCACTTTAACTATTGTCTTTTCATTTTAACCATTTTTCTTTTCACCTTAAACTTTTGTTTCACTTTAACATTATTCTTTTCAACTTGACCTTTTCACTTTTCACCTTAATTATTTTTCTTTTCACAATTATGTTTTTGTTTGTCGCCATAATCAATTTTTCACCTGAATATTTTTCGTTTCATCATAACCATTTTTAATCATAACCACTTTTTTTACTTGAATATTTTTTTCGCTTTAACAATTGTTTTACCTTAACAATTTTTATTTTCACCTATTTTTCGCCTTAAGAATATTTTACCTTAACAATTTTTTTATTTCCACCTTGACCTATTTTCACCTTAACCATTTTTTAACTTAACTTGTATTTTCATCTTGACCTATTTTTCGCCTTAACAATTTTTACCTTAACAATTTTTATGTTCACCCTGACCTATTTTTCGCCTTAACAATTTTTTTCCTTAACAATTTTTTATTTTCACCTTGACCTATTTTCACCTTAATCATTTTTCACCTTAACTTGTATTTTCATCTTGACCTATTTTTCTCCTTAATTTTTTACCTTAACAATTTTTATTTTCACCCTGACCTATTTTCACCACTTTTTTACCTTAACTTGTATTTTCATTTTGACCTATTTTTTACCTTAACAATTTTTTACCTTAACAATTTTTATTTTCACCTTGACCTATTTTCACCATTTTTCACCTTAATATGTATTTTCTTCTTAACCTATTTTTCGCCTTAACAATTTTTTTACCTTAACAATTTATATTTTCACCTTGAACTATTTTAACCATTTTTCACCTTAATTTGTATTTTCATCTTGACCTAGTTTTCGCCTTAACATATTTTTACCTTAACAATTTTTATTTTTACCTTGGCCATTTTTCACCCGAACATTTTTCTTTTCGTCTCAACCCTTTTT